TTCATTCATATGGGGAATGTAAAAAAACGAATAAACATTTAAAAATAAGTGAACATACCAAACAAAAACAAACATGTAGATAGAACAAAGTAGTGGTTATCTGAGGGAAAGGGGCGGTGGGGAAGGGAAAATGGGTAGAGGGGATCAACTGCGTGATGGATGGAAAATAAGTTTTTTTTTAATAAATTTATTTGTTTATTATCTATGTTTGGCTGCATTGGGTCTTCGTTGCTGTGCACGAGCTTTCTCTAGTTGCAGCAAGTGGGGGCTACTCTTCATTGTGGTGCATGGGCTTCAGTACTTGTGGCACACAGGCTCAGTAGTTGTGGCTCACGGGCTCTAGAGCACAGGCTCAGTAGTTGTGGCACACGGGCTTAGTTGCTCCACTGCATGTGGGATCTTCCCGGAGCAGGGATCGAACCCGTGTCCCCTGCATTGGCAGGCGGGTTCTTAACCACTGCGCCACCAGGGAAGTCCCAGAAAATAAGTCTGTGGTTGTGAGCACATTGTAGGGTATATAGAAGTAGAAATAAAATGCTGCACACATGAAACTTACAGATCAATGTTACTTAAATTTTTTTAAAGATGTTTAAAAAATATTTCTCATGAACACAGATGCAAAAACCTTCAACAAAATGTTAGTAAATCAAAATTTTAAAACTACGAAAAGAATTAATACACTACAACCAAATAGGATTTATCTCAGGTGTGCAAGGCTGGTTTAACATTTGAAAATCAATTCATATAATCCAACACATCAACAGACTAAGGAAAAATCATATGATCATATCAATAGATGCAGAAAACAACATTTGATAGAGTCCAACACCCATTCATTATAAAAATCCTCAGTTAGGAATAGAGATAAACTTTGTCAGCTTGATAAACTGTCTACAGAAACTACAGCTAACATGTGTAATAATGGTAAGAAACTGGAAGCTTTTGTACTAACATCAGGTACAAGGCAAGGATGTCCTTGCTCACCAGTTTTCAATATTGTGCTGGAAGTTCTAGCTAATGCAATAAGACAAAGGAAATAAAAGGTATACAGATTGGGAAGGAAGAAATAAAACTGTCTTTATTCACAGATGACATGATTGTCTACGTAGAAAATCCAAGAGAATGGACAAAAAAACCTTCTGGAACTTACGCAGTTATGCAAAGTTGTAGGATACAAGGTTAATATACAAAAGTCAAGCACTGTCTTATATACCAGTAGTGAACAAGAGATACTTGAAAATAAAAACACAATATAATTACCATTAGCATACCCCAACATGTAATACTTAGATATAAATCTAACAAAACATGTACAAGGTCTATATGAAAAAAACTACAAAACTTTGATGAATGAAATCAAAGAACTGCTAAATAAATGGGGAGATATTCCATGTTTATGGATAGGAGGATTCAATATTGTCAAGGTGTCATTTCTTCCCAACTTAATCTGTAGATTCAGTGCAACACCAGTCAAAATCCCAGCAAGTTAATTCATAGATATCAACAAATTAGTCCTAAAGTTTGTATGGAGAAACAAAAGACCCGGAATAGCTAACTCAATATTGGAAGAATAAAGTAGGACAGTACTCAGCCTCAAGCTAAACTAAACCTAAAGCTACAGTAATTGAGACAATGTGGTATTGTCAAAAGAATAGACAAGGGGCTTCCCTGGTGGCGCAGTGGTTGAGAGTCCGCCTGCCGATGCAGGGGACGCGGGTTCGTTCCCCGGTCCAGGAAGATCCCACATGCCGTGGAGCGGCTGAGCCCGTGAGCCATGGCCGCTGAGCCTGCGCGTCCGGAGCCTGTGCTCCGCAACGGGAGAGGCCACAGCAGTGAGAGGCCTGCGTACCGCAAAAAAAATAAAAAATAATAATAAAAAAAAAAGAATAGACAAGTAGATCATTGGAACAGAGTAAAGAGCCCGTAAGTAGACCCACATATAGTCAACTGATCTTTGACAAAGGAGCAAAGGCAGTACAATGGAACAGAGAGTCTTTTCAACAAATGGTACTGGGACAACTGGACATTCACATGCAAAAAAAAAAAAAAGAATCTGAACACAGACCTTAACACCTTTCACAAAAATTAACTCAAAATAGATCATAGACCTAAGTGTAAACACAAAACTATAAAACTCCTAGAAGATTACATAGGAGAAAAATCTAGATGACCTTGGGTATGATGATGCCTTTTTAGGTATAAACCAAAGGCATTATCCATGAAAGAAATAACTGATAAGCCGAACTTTGTTAGAATTATAACTTCTGCTCAGCAAAAGACAATGTCAAGGGAATGAGAAGGCAAGCCACAGATTGTGAGCAAATATTTGCAAATGACTTATTTGAGAAAGGACTATTATCCAAAATATACAAAGAACTCTTAAAACTCAACAATAAGAAAACAACTTGATTTAAAAATGGGTTGAAGTCCGTAATAGACACCTCACCAAAGAAGATATACAGGTGGCAAATAAACGTTTGAAAAGTTGCTCTACATTTTATGTCATCAGGGAAATGCAATTGAAAACAAGATACCACTACATACCTACACTAACAACACCAAATGCTTATGTGGATGTGAAGCAACAGGAAATCCTATTCATTGCTGTTGGGAACGTAAGATGGTCCAACCACTTTGAAGTTTGTTTTACAGTTTCTTACAAAACTAAACATACTCTTACCATACAGTCCAGCAATCACATTCCTTGATATTTACCCAAAAGGGTTGAAAACTTATGTCCACACACAAACCTACACACACATATGGCAGCTTTATTCATAATTGCCAAAACTTGGAAACAACCAAGATGTCCTTCCATGGGTGAGTGGATAAATAAACATCCAGACAATGGGATATTATTGTGTTAAGAGCTATCAAGCCATGAAGAGACATGGAGGAACCTTAAGTGAATCTTACTAAGTGAAAGAAGCCAATATGAAGAGGCTACATACTGTATGATTCCATTTATATGATATCCTGGAAAAGGCAAAACTCGTGAGACAATAAAAAGATCAGTGATTGCCAAGGGTTTGGGGTGGGGGTGGGAGATGGGGGAGCAATGAATATAGGTAGAGCACAGAAGATTTCTAGGACAGTGAAAATACTCTGATATCATAATAGTGGATACATGTCATTATACATTTGTCTAAACCCATAGAAGGTACAACATCAAGATTGAGCTGTTATGTAAATTATGGTCTTTGGGTGATTACGATGTGTCTGTACAGGTTCATCAGTTGTGACAAATGTATCACTCTGATAGGAATGTTGGTAATGGGGAAGACTATGCATGTCTGGGCACAGGGAGCATATGGGAAATCTCTCTCCCCTTCAGTTTCATGAATCTTAAACTGCTTTTAAAAATGAATTTTAAAAATGAATTTAAAAATAAATTTAAACAAATTACTGAGTGCTTACTATGTGCCATTATGAACAAAATTGATGCAGTGGTAGAAGGGTAGTAGACTAGGAATCAGAAGAGTCTGTATTCAAGTCCTTTTTTGTCACTTGTTAGTCCTGACACCCTTAGACAAGTCACTTAGTATCTTTGAGCCTTATCTCTATGATAGTATTCCCTTATGACATTATGGGAATCAGAAAACAGACATGAAGTTTTTTGAAAACTAACTAGCAACATGAAAATATTAAGGACTTACTATTATTAAAATAATAACTAAGACATGACCATTGACTCTTAAGAAAAAATTTTTTTTGCATGCTATGTGAATAGTTGTATAAATGAATAAAGCAAAACAGCTGTCCAAAAAAGAAATACTGTAATAGTTATGCACTTAGAAAACAAAACTTCAAAAAGGGAACAATACCTTTTTATGTGAATGGAAATATTAACAAATTTTAAGGGAATAGCACTAAGACAAGTTTGACTTTCCATTTTTCTGCTTGGAGGAAAAAGATAAACTGAAAAGACAGTCTTTCTAAGGAAAGAGTAGCATAGTATTACTAGCAATTTTCTCAGGGTTAATTAGTTTTATAGCAGAAATGTTGGCAAATACTGATTTGCACTTGCCACTATTAAGAGTAGTTTGACTAGTATTATACCATCTAATTAAACTGATTTTTAAAAAGTATTTCCAAATTCACCATATAATGTTTTGGTAGTTGCTTTCTACAGTACAGTTTTTTTTTTCTTTTGTAACGCAAATGGGGGTTAAAATCAATAGAAGAAAATCTGAAAGCAAACACAAGTTTTCAGCTTTGTGGAACATACTACTTCTCATATGATAATTCAGCAGTATTTTAGCCCAATTGTGCAATGCTTGCATTTGGGTATATCTTCCTTTATTAAAAAAAAAAAAAATCACAGAATTCCCTGGCGGTCCAGTGGTTAGGACTCTGCGCTTCCACTGCCAAGGGTCTGGGTTCAATCCCTGGTCGGGGAACTAAGGTACCATAAGCTGCGGGGCACAGCCAGAAATACAAAAATAAAAGTCAGAATAGCCGATGTAAAAATACTGCATTTGTTTGACACATTTTGCTCGTTTATCTTTGTCCAGATTCTCTGGCTCTTAGAAATAGTGGTGTATGTGGACCTGCTGGAACTAGGAGAGTTTCTTTACCTTTCTTACATCCTCTTTGGATGCACTGATTCATTAAAGAACTGGTTTTTCAACTCTATTGGTGTGGTTGGCTTTTCAAAAGAGTATAGGGAATCTAGCAGATATGAGAATAAGAATACAGTAAACCTATAGGGACTGTATTTATCAACATGGAGTTTCATGTTTTCTGCAAACAAAGGTTACATTTTATAATACAAACAGACCTCTGGGTGAAGGAACAGTAAACTCTTTCTGATTCTAGTTTGTAGCAGACTTATTCCTGAAATAATGTAAAGGGAATTAATTGATTCTTTTTTTTATAATTTAACAAAAAAAGTTTAATTGGTGTGATGTAATGTTCACTTCCCTAAATTAAATGCTCTTATTTATTCCTGAGCTTTGGCTTATGATGTTACATACAGCATGTATGCTTCTCTCTTCTAGAAGCCACCAGTGTCCAACAGAAGATCAATTTCTCAGAAGAAGGTATTTTCTCTTAAAATATCATGCAATATATTCTAAATCTTTTTGTTAAGATTAGAAGCAATTTTGCTAAGTACTTAAGAGAGAGAGCAGAAAATAGTGTCTTTTTGGAAAAAAAAATTCATGATTATCTGAACTGTTAAATGGAAGGTAAAATAGGATAGAATGGTAGCCTTTCTGTGCATTTTTTTTTTTTTTTTTTTTTTTGGTACGAGGGCCTCTCACTGTTGTGGCCTCTCCCGTTGCGGAGCACAGGCTCCGGACCCGCAGGCTCAGCGACTCATGGCTCACAGGCCCAGCCGTTCCTCGACATGTGGGATCTTCCCGGACCGGGGCACGAACCCGTGTTCCCTGCATTGGCAGGTGGACTCTCAACAACTGCGCCACCAGGGAAGCCCCCTTCCTGTGCATTTTAAGCATCTTTTGTCTGTTTGAGTTAATTTAAGCAAAGCTAATATTTTCTGTTTCTGGCATGTGCTGGCCTTTGATTATGGTATTCAAATAATCAGTTTTCAAATTCTCATAACCAGTCTATGTTTGAATAGTACGGTAAAATTTAGTCCATTTTTAAGTTCACCATAATCTGAGATTAGTCACCTGCATACAGAAATGTTTGTGTATGGGTGTATGTATCCACACCCTGTTTGCAAACACACGCACATATATGCAAACACATATGCATGCATATACTAATCTTGTCTGAATTTATACACTAACTATATGTACTTTTCCTCCCCATAAGTTAAAACTTTTCTTCTATTTAATGTTCATTTGTTTACTTTTCAACTCTACATTAAAGCCTCAGAATATAATCTTACTGAATATTCGTTTCGGATATAATTATTTACCTCAGAGAAAATAAAATAAATGAGCTCAATTTTAGCTTATTTAGACCTTTGTGACTCAGGATAGTAAGCATAATAAATAGCAATTCTATATCCGATTATTTAAAAGGTTTCATTTTAATGTTGAATTACTTGTTTTTATTTTTTAATCCAGATCTTTAGAGCCTTAGAATAAAGACTATACTAGTATATTTTTATTTCTTTTTAGGGGAAACGGAGGAAAATGATCAAGACAGTTCTGACAGTGATGTTACGGTTGTTAAGGTCAGATCCGGGGATTCTGTTGAGTCTGGAGGTAACGTTGCTTTATGTACATATGACTCTTATCTTAGGAGCTGTATTTTTAGTTAAAGTATAAAGGTATTCTGTGAATTTGCTTTTTTAAAGAATTTATTAAAACTACTTTTTAAAAAGCTGTGTGCTTTTAAACATTTTTTAAAATTACTGATTCCATGTATACATCTGATTAGTAATGTAATATCTAAACAAACAAATCACTTTTACCTTGCTTTGTTGTTTATGGAACATAAAATATTTTTGTGCTCAAAAGAAGAGTTATTTGTGATTTTTTAAAAAATTTAATAGAGAGACTTCCCTGGTGGCGCAGTGGTTAAGAATCTGCCTGCCAATGCAGGGGACACTGGTTTGAGCCCTGCTCCGGGAAGATCCCACATGCCGCAGAGCAACTAAGCCCGCGAGCCACAACTACTGAGCCCACATGCCACAACTACTGAAGCCCGCGCACCTAGAGCCCATGCTCTGCAACAAGAGAAGCCACTGCAGTGAGAAACCTGTGCACCACAACACAGAGTAGCCCCCGCTCGCCGCAACTAGAGAAAGCCCACGTGCAGCAACGAAGACCCAATGCAACCAAAAATAAATAATTAAAAATTAAATTAAAAATTAAAAAAAAATGTTTATAGAGAAACTGATCACACTGGCATTGACTCACTACACTATCAGGAGTATTAGTTAGCTTTTAGGAAGTTTTAATAAACTTAGATTACTCCTTTTATCTCTGATTTGTTCAAATTCACATCCAGTTAGCAATAACAATTTCTGATTGTTCCTGTGAATTGATGTTTAAGTTTATTCAAGGAAAGAACTGACTGAAGAGAAAAAAAATACCAACTTGAGACTTATGAGGGTGCTGATTAAATTTGTAAACAGTGGAAATAATAAATAATTTTATATTTTAGTTACATTATAGAGTAAGTCTCTACTTACCCCTCACCACCTTTTGAGAATTTCTGTAATTCCTATGTTTTACTAAATCATTCCATTTTAAAAATAAGCTCAGAAGCTGGTTTATGGGCATTTATTCTACATATTTCCCACCCTTCCTCATTTTTCCCCATTCTTTCTTTGTTTTTTTTTTAATATTTATTTATTTATTTGGTTATGCCAGGTCTTAGTTGCGGTACACAGGATCTTTATTGCCGCATGTGGGATCTTTAGTTGCAGCATGCGGGATCTAGTTCCCTGACCAGGGATCGAGCCCGGGCCCCCTGCATTGGGAGCTCAGAGTCTTAACCACTGGACCACCAGGGAAGTCCCTCACCATTCTTTCTTGATACAGAAATCCCAAAGGAGATATGCAACACTGTAGCCTAGTGGTTAAGATCTTGGGCTCTGGAGTTTCACTGGGTTTCACTCTTCCACTACTAGGTTTGTGCCCTCAGGCAGTTGCTTAACTTCTCTGTTCCTCAATTCCCTCATCTGGGTTGTTGTGAGGTTTAATTACTTAGAGAGTACCTAGCACATAGTAAACACTCAAATTGAGTGCTGTTGTTAGTTTTCATATATGCATACATACAGCTCTAAAAATTAGAGACTAATTAAGTCATGAATCATATAGCCAGTAGCTTGATGCCATTGCTACCAGTGTGGCTCTTTGATGCTACATAAACCCCAGGCTCTGTGATCCCTTTTGAATTCTAATAAATTCTCATTGAAGCATGCATACCCCATACAGAAGAAAACTCTAGCTAAAGAACAAAGATGTGAGGCATATTCAGAAGAATACTGATCTTTCTAGATTGTCTTCTGGGCCAGTTATTACCGAAGAGGTACTAGAAGGTCCACTGGAGTGCAGGAGGAAAATACTAGAATTTAGTTATATACAGCTTTTATTTCATCCATTTAAAATGTCTATTTTAGTTTGTTTTATAATATATACAACACATTAGTTAATATATTATTTTAGTAATGCTTGTATATAATATTAAAAATATATTTTGGAGATAGATGCTCAAAATTTTTTTAGAGGAGTACACCAACAAAAATACTTAACCACCACCTGGTTGTGTCAAATGCTTTTGCCTCCAAGATAGCAGTCTGACTGCTTTTAGACATACTTTGTTATAAATTCCACTTTTAAATGAAAAAAAATTAAGATTTTTAAGAAGGGAAGGCTAAAATACATAACATATCGACCACTTGCAAGAAGAATTTAAGACAAAATGGATAGTAATGATTTCCAGAAGATCCATTATTGTAAACTTTCAAGATTTTCCCCAGCTCAAAGGTTTCATTATCTTCTTTACCTCATGCCATGCCCTATATCTTTTTTTCTCTTTAAAAAGAAAAGACAGATAATTAATTTTTTAGACATAACTTGACCCTTTAGAAACTATTTTTTAAAATAAATTATACATTCAAGTGTTGAATTCCCTGGGGTTTATCTGAATATTCTTGCTCTTTTGATTATTCATCATTCTCTGGTTAAATGTGCACTTAGAAAGTTAAATATGCTTTATAGTATACTATATTTCTTTTTTGTTTTTAGACCAAACCACCAGATCATCAAGTCAATATCCAGAATCATTTTGGCAGTCATCACAAAGTAAGTAAAACCATGATTTTTACTCTTAAAAGTCTACCTGTGGGTGTGGTCAAATGCTATTCTTATTTTTGAAGATGTTCTTTTGCAGTTTAATGTAAAATGTTGAAAAAGAGGTATAGTGAATGCTAAAAAAACCCTCATCTTGCATCTTGAATTTGCTTCTTGAGTTAATCACCTCTGTACCCAACCTTGATTTTGAATTAAAAAAAAAACAAAGGGCTTCCCTGGTGGCGCAGAGGTTGAGAGTCTGCCTGCCGATGCAGGGGACACGGGTTTGTGCCCCAGTCTGGGAAGATCCCACATGCCGCAGAGCGGCTGGGCCTGGGAGCCATGGCCACTGAGTCTGCGTGTCCGGAGCCTGTGCTCCGCAACGGGAGAGGCCACAACAGTGAGAGGCCCGCACCGGGTTAAAAAAAAAAAAAAAACTACTGCCTTCTTTGATTTGTTGAATGTCCTCATTTGCAATATAAATTTGTTGATTGTAGTAGTTTGAACCTACTTATATGGTATGATTTAAACTGTGTTGCGAAAGTTTGGAAGGATGAATAAATAAGTGGTAAATCAGGTAAAGTAAAAAGTTAATGGTAAGTTAGTTGGTGTGTATATAAAAGTCTTACAGCCCAGCTTACAGCTTTGAAAATTTTCATAATAAAATATTGAGAAAATGTAACACACATGAAAAGAATGGGAAGTAGTATGCTAAAATGCTAACAGTGTTTGTTCAGGATGGTAGAATTGTTGATATTTTTCGTTTACTTTTTTTCTATAGTTTGCAGATTATCTACAATGGATATGTATCTCTTAGGTTAAGCAGAAATTACACTGTTTTTTCTTTTTCCATTTTTAAATCAAGTCCCAGAATTCAAATTAATTATCAGTCAGCCAGAAATATCCTGGAATGTAAAATCTTCAAGAACTTTTTTTTCCTTCCACAATACCATTTTAAAAATATGAGACTATTTTTAAAGAAAAAGTCTTTGGAAATCTGTTTTCTAATCACTGTGTTCATAGAATTCCACTTTATATATGTGTGTATATATATATATATTTTTTTTTTAGTTTTTAGTAGGTTCTGGGTTTGGAATTAAAACTGAGACAAACAAAAGCAGGTGAAACAAAAATCAGTCATTTATGGAAAATTACTCTCTGGATTATCTTATATGTTTGCGCTTTGTTATTCTAAATCTTTGATCTTTGGAAGCTCTGAAATGTGTGTCCCTATATTAATTATGCTATACTTATGCAATGGTATACTTTTCAGTTATGGAAAATGAGTTGTTTGTATACAATTAGGTATATATTTCCTTGAATCTAAAATGCCATTGCTTTTATGTATTACTGAGAAAGAAAACCATCCAGTTAAACTGTGTCATAGCACTGATTCTAAGATGCAGCCCTAAAGCAAAGGTGTTTTTAAAAAGTTACTTCACAGAGTCAGTGATAAACAATACAAAAAAGTGTGTCTAGTTTTTTAAAAAGTTCTTTGTTAGTGTAGACTGAAAACAAATCTGGAATATACATCTATCTGTCTTATTCACCACGGTTTTCCTACAATGTTTTGCACGTAATAGGCACTTAATAGATATTAATGAATTTTTAGGTTATGCATTTCTAGAATGGTGTATTTCTGTTACAGCCAGCACATACTGCATTTTTAGTCAGAAAATAAGTCGAACATAAATTTATATTGGTACTTGTATCAGTAGCTAGAAGTAACTTGTTTCTTCAGGGCAGATTTGCAAATTTACCATGTTATAATTGTTTGTAATAACATTTTCTAATTATCCCATTGTATCATTTTATAGTTGTCCTTAAATACCATCCCAAAACATGAAGTAGCATCTTACACTGCATAACTGCTTTGCAGTGTTCACAAATTTGCTTATATAGTATATACCGTTATATATGAACTGCCTGGGTTTATATCTCAGTCCTACTACCTTTTACATATGTAATCTTGGAGAAAATTATCAATTTCAGTTTACTTATTTGTAAAATAGGAATAATAGTATCTACCACATAAAGTGTGAGAGTTGATAAAATTATACTTGGTACCTGGTAAGCATTCAGTACATTTAGCTTTTATTTTGATGGTGTTGCTCTTAAAGCTGGCTTCTTATTATCCAATTCCTGAACATTTTGAAGTTTAGAAAAGGGAAAATACATATATATTGTATATGTTTGGGACTGATGAAAGAAAGGTTTGATTGTTTTTGTTTTTGGTGTCAGTAGTAAACAAGTAAAATGTTTATGCAACATCTTCATTGTTTTTATTTCCATTCTTTATTTTCTATGACCTTATCTCTGTTCTCTGTTTCAGGTCCCGACTTCACAGCTTTTGATAAGCAACCATTAGTGCTAAGTAAGTGGTTGGTTGTCTATTCTTTTATCTATCAACCCAGTCTTACTAGCCAACAAAAATTTGAATAGAATTCAAAGTCATTTTACCCTCTTTGCCTTTTAATCCACCACAGATTGATACTATATGTAATATTGGTACTCTGTGATGTAGAAATGTGTTTAGGACTACTTTACTGAAAATAATTTATTTACAAAAGTAAATGGTTAACCTTTTTCTTCTTAATTAACACCAAAGTGTTAATGAAGTTCAAGTGTTAATAAATGCAGTCATAGACCATAGCAAAGGACTTGTACATAGTTTTGTCTATTAGGGGATTATGTATTTATTTGCTGCCTTTTTTGCTGTGGGAAGTAACTCATCCTCACTGATGTGATCCTTTGACATTATCTTTTACTTTTGAACCTATTGCTTTGGTTGTTTCCCTCGCCAAATTTGTTTTGCCTTTCTGATAAATTTACCTTATAACACTGAGGTATAGTATACATTTTCAAAGTATGTGAAACGATATCTTGATATATATATCTGTCTCAGGCTCGGGATATCAAAAAAATCCTCAGGAATGGGTTGAAAAAACCACAAGAATAAGGACTAGGATGCAAAGTAAGTTGATAAATCTCTACCTGTTATTGAAGAAATTTTAAAATTGCTACCTGTTATTGAAGTAATTTTAAGTTTATTTGCTGTTTTTTTGACTATTTAACATATAAAACTGTTTAGTTCATCAGATAAGCATTTGGGTTGCTTGTGATCTCATTAATAAAGGACATTTATGATTGCTAGTTTAGTTATTTCCATCTACTTGGACTGGCAGGAGATGGACTGGGTGTAGAATGTAGAATCATGGTGTGAGAAAACCAGTGGATGATAGGTCTGTACTTGACAAATTGTCAGTTCTGTCTAGCAGCAGTACAATCTGCACATGAAAATGAAATTCTAATCTTTTGATAGTGCCTGTTTTTATTTTTAACAGTTGTTTACCGTTATATAAATAACCACTTAGAGCAGCTTTGCATACCCATTATTTTAAGGTATAAATGCTGAAATCCTCAAATTGTATTTTCATGTTTGGGTTTAGGATGGATTAAATGTCATAGAATTTAAGAAATATTGAAGAAATAAATAGGTGCGATAAAACGTACTTTGAATTCAGTGTCTATCATAATTTCTATAGCAGTGTGTCCACATTAAACCTTGACTGTATAAAAAAATCCATGCCATGCCTTAAGTGACCTTTAACCTCTATCCCTTCCTTATTCCTGTAGCCACAGTAGGTCTTGAGGTCATCAGGTGTCCCTTACTTTTATTTAGATAATATAAAAATCCCCATCATATAGCTCTTGCTCACAAAATAACTAACTGTAATTGGACAAGATAACCTCTGTGGCTTTGTTTTTCTATCAGTAAAGTAGTAATGGTTGCAATTCATTTTTTCCCCAGCAGTGAAGTATTACCGTACACGTAAGTGAGTTCTTCAGCTGTCTAAAACTGAAATAACTTTTTGCCCTCGCCTTATTGTTGGCTGTTATTTTTTTTTGACCATGCTTCGCAGCTTGTGGGATCTTAGTTCCCCAACCAGGGATCGAACCAGGGCCCTCAGCAGTGAGCGCGCAGAGTCCTAACCACTGGACCGCCAGGGAATTCCCTGGCTGTCATTTCTTATTGCTGTATATACTTGCTATTAGAAGACCATTTCCTCTTAAAATTTGTTCTTCTTGACCTATTATAGTTAGGAAACCAAATATTAATTCAGCTTTTTAAGATTATGGTTATAGCCAATATCAAAAATTAAAACATTCTGAAGATCTAAGAATTACTCTTGGAAGCAAAACTGCACGAGTTTAAGTGTATATACTATGAAAAGCTCAGAGTTTTATGATGTTATTAGTTCTTAACTATATATTCTGGGTAACTAATAGCAGATAAATTACTTCCAGAAAAGTGAAGTGTAGTACATATTGTTGTCAAAAAATGTTTGCATTGTCCTCTGTTAAGACACTGTACAAATGCAATGCAGAAGGGAAAATCATTATATTGAAGGTCTAGCTGGAATGTAGAAATAGATCTTTATGGTTGCTAAATTGATAGCTTATTTATAGTATTTTCTCTGTATTCCTATTTTGTCTTAAGTTTGTATATTTGTTATGGCTTAAATAGTTGTATACTGGTTGATAGACATCTACCATATATACAGAACTTCCAGAGTTAAAGAGAAACTATATAGCAGAAATTTGCACATTCGGGTTCAGGTAACAAAATTTTTTAGATTTTTGACCACAGAAGGACTTTAAGATAAGAAGAAAGAATTTTCAATCAGAGTAGACGATTGCAGGAAGAAAGAATTTTCAGTCAGAGTAGAAGATTGCAGTGACTTCCAAACAGCCTTATAGATTTCTCTTCAATCTAACATCATTTGAAAAAAACTTTTCCTTGGCATTCCAAGTTTCATATCTTATTGTCTTAACTATACACTTCTGCCTGCTTCAGTGAGAAAAAAAAATTCATTTTTAGATTTAGGTGTTCAAGAACCTGGATTTCAGATCATTATCACCCTATGTTAGTACCAGTTCTCTGGGTAGACAGGTCCCAGTTCAGGTTTCTGCAGGTATCCAGATCTTTGGGGAAAGATAGAACCACTGTCTATACTTTTGCTGTGTCCCAGATGATAAAACAGTCAGGCCTCTGAGTCTGTGCTTCATTAATATACATGCTTTGGAACCTGTCTCTAAAAGTGGTGTAGAGAAAAGAGGAGAGTTTGGAGTTAGAGCTATTGGGTTCCAGTCCCAGATCTTCTACTAATTGAGTCATCTTGGTAAAGTCTCTTAAACTTTGTGAACCTCAATTTTCTTAACTTTAAAGTTGGGACAATAGTGCCTATAACTAGGTTATTCTAATGAGCTTATTATATATGTGAACACAATTTTTAAGTCTAAATGTACCACATAAATAATTAATGCTTATTTATTGTTAACAATATATTGTGTAATAATCAGTAGTAATAACTATGAAAGATTCATGCCCTCTGCTTTTGACTTTATAGAGTGATTGATTGTTACCATACTCTTCATACTAGAAAAACTCTGAGCTTTATCTTTTTAAAAAGATCTTTTTTAACGGAATTTTTATTACTGTCTCTAAAAATATTTTTAATGAGGATAAAGTTTACCTTTTAGTGTGTTGCCTCAGCAGTATATATACCCTACTAAGTTTGAGTTCTTCAAATTATATAAATGTTTCATATGGTATATAATAACTGTTACTTATCTATTCTATATCATTAAAATCATCATAGAAGAGCACTTAACATTTTATGTATTGTCTCATTTGATCTTTGCAACCATGGATTAAAGTATTCAAGATAAACATTATCTTGATGGATTTATTTTCTAAATTGTTTCACATACTCTTTAACTGTAGGTTAAACTATTGAAGTATGATTGACATACATTCATTTTGGTTTTTAAAATATTTTGTTAAAGTATAGTTGATTTACAATGTTGTGTTAATTTCTGCTGTATGGCAAAGCGATTCAGTTATTCATATATATATTACTTTTCATATTCTTTTCCATTATGGGTTGTCACAGCATATTGAATATAGTTCCCTGTACTATACAATAGGACCTTGTTGTTTATCCATCCTATATATAATAGTTTGCATCTGCTAATCCCAAACTCCCAGTCCATTCCTCCCCTACCCCCACCTTCTTGGCAACCACAAGTGTGTTCTCTGTGTCTGTGAGTCTGTTTCTGTTTCATAGATATGTTCATTTATGTCATATTTTAGAATCCACATATGAGTGATGTCATATGGTATTTGTCTTTCTCTGACTTACTTCGCTTAGTATGATAATCTCTAGGTCCATCTGTGTTGCTGCAAATGGCATTATTTCATCCACTTCTATGGTTAATATTCCATTGATTATATATATACCACATCTTCTTTATCAATTCATCTGTGATTGACATGCATTTAATGTATACAACTTACGTATTTACTGTATACAACTTGATGAGTTTGGAGATAAGTATATACCTGTGAAACCATCACCATAGTCTATGCCGTGAACATATCCATCACCTCCAAAAGTTTTCTCCCACCCTCTTTATTTATTATTATGTGTGTGATAAGAACACTTAAGATCTACCCTCGTAGCAAATTTTTAATATATAGGACAATAAATATAGGTACTATGCTCTACAGTAGATTTCTAGAATTTTTTCATCTCATTTAACTGAAACTGTGTACCCTTTGACTGATATCTCCTGATTTCCCCCTCCCCCAGGCCCTGGAAACCACCTGTTTCTATGAATTTGACTAGGTTCCTCATATAAATGATAGTATGAAGCATTTGCATATCTGTATCTGACTTATTTCATTAGGATAATGTTCTCCATGTTGTCCAGAGTGGCAAGATTTCCTTCTTTTTTAAAGCTGAATAATAATTCCATTGTGTGTGTATGTGTGTGAATACATGTATATGTATAAATACATCACATTTTCTTTATCCATTAATTTGTCAATGGACATTTAGTTTGCTTCCCTGTTTCGGCTATTGTGAATATTACTGCAATGAACATGGGTGTGCAGATATCTCTCCAAGGTCGTAATTTCTGTTCCTTTGGATATATATCCAAAAGTGGGATTGCTGGATCATATGGTAGTCCATTTTTAACCTTTTGGGGAACCTCCATAATTCTTTTCCATAGTGACTGCACCAATTTATATTCCCACCAACAGTGTACAGGGATTCTCTTTCCTCCACATCCTCTCCACATACCTTGCACTTTTGTTTTTTCGATAATAGCCACAATACATTTGATAATGTGAGGTGATTTCTCATTGTGATTTTGATCACATAAGTCATGTGCTTTTTAAGTTTGATGTAATCCCATGGTCTATTTTTACTTTTGTTGTCCATGCTTTTGTTGTTATATCCAAGAAATCATTGTCAAGGCCAACTTCAAGAAGCTTTTTCCCCATGTTTCTTCTGGGAGTTTTATTGTTTCAATTCCTAATTTAAGTCTTTCATCCATTTTGAGTCGATTTTTGTATGTGGTATAAGGGTCCAATTTCATTCTTTGTATGTGGATATCCAGTTTCCCCAGTACCATTTACTGAAGAGACTATCCTTTTGCTATTGTGTAGTCTTGACACCCTTGTTGAGGATCAGTTGACTATATCTTCATGGGTTTATTTCTGACTTTCTATTCTCTTCCATTGGTCTATATGTCTGTATTTATGGCAGTATCATAATGTTTTGATTATTCTAGCTTTGTGATATATTTTGAAATCAGAAAGTGTGATGCCTCCAGTTTTGTTCTTCTTACTCAAAGTTGTTTTGGCCTTTCAAATTTGGGGTCTTTTGTGGTTCCATATGAATTTTAGGATTGTTTTCTGTTTCTGTAAAAAATGCCATTGGAATTTTGATACAGATTGCACTGAACCTGTAGATTGCTTTCGGTAGCATGGACATTTTAAGAATATTAATTCTCCATTCCATGACCATGGGGTGTCTTTCCATTTACTTGTGTCTGCTTTAATTCCTTTCATCAGTGTTTTAGAGGTTTCAGTGTATAATGCTTTTACCTCCTTGGTTACTCTTATTCCTAAATATTTTATTCTTCTGATGCTATTGTAAATGGGAGTTTTTCTTAATTTTGTTTGTGTTAATTTTGTTTTCTTAATTTTATGTTCTTATGAGTTATATGAATGTTACATATGTTTCATAATAACTGTTATTTAGCTGTTCTCCATTATTAATATCATCATGCACTTCACAGCATTTTCATATATTATATCATTTGATCTTTGCAACCATGGAATGAGGTATTTAAGATAAACATTATCTGATGGAAATTTTTTTTTTTTAGTAAGACAGTTTTAACTTTGGTTACCTAACTTTGAAGCTTCTAAATGATGCCATTTCCTAGACTAACCTAGTAATTGCAAAACAATATGCCTTTAGAGTTAAGGTTGATGTCATTTTGTTTCATTTGAGGTTTTTTGTCATATGACCAGAAATAAGGCTATTTCTGTAAAAATATATATAAAATAAATAAATCAGCAATGCTAATTTTATTCCTCCAGTTTAGTCCAGTGTTTCTCAAATGAAAACTGTTGATAAATACTAGGAAGATCACTTATACACATAAAGTTATAAAACTCCAGGCAAGTGCTAGATGACAGTATTGGTAATGTAGATCATACAGATGAGTAACTCAGCCTCTTCGCTTCCTGAACCCTGTCGTTCCATTTCCTCTCTCTTAGATGGCTATGCCAAGGAGGACGGAGAGGAAAAGGAAAGAGCTTTTCATTTGTTTTCTAAAGTATGATGGAAATAGAGATTTGATGGAGTTGTGGGAAAATTATTTTTGAAATCTGTTGTTTAACCACAAAGCTAAAACAATTACTTGTCTATTACCAGAAATGGTGAAAAGTTTTTCAGTGTAATTTCTAAAATATTACTGATATTTGAAATGGTCAGAAGCACCAGAGGACGTATTTGAATCAGATTGAGGTAGAAATTAGAGAAGATTAAGATTGAGTTTTACCTTAAAACCCCTTATCCAGAGAGCTCAGTAATCCATAATCATATTTTGTCCTTCTTTCCCTCTTTACAGCATCATCACCAGGCGAGCGTTTGATATATGGCAATTTTTCAGATGGTATCATTTGTTTCCTTTTATTATAGTTGTGCTTATTTTCTTTGTCCTCTTAACTTTGTCCCAGAAGTTTCACCACTCCCATTAAATAATTTGGGTCAAGTTCTTCAAGGCTTTCTCACAAAACTAATGTGTTAAGAGTATGCTTTGTACTCGACCATTACATTAATTATGAAAGAAACCAATCTTGTGTCTCAAGCAGCTGTCAATCTAATAGACACTTGAATCTTCTGCTTTTTCTTCTGTTTCTGACAGATCTCTGCCTTATTTTCTCTTGGTGAAATTTGTATTCTCTTTTTCTGTTGGAAATACTGAAATTATGAAACATAAATTGATAGTCTTTATTACTTCTATCATTAGATGACGGTGTTCAGAAATCAGAGCTTGGAAACCAATCTCCATCAGCCTCCAGCCAACGTAAGTTTGTCTATTCAGCTTTCATTAAACGAGTCTCTAAAATTGGTGAACATAATGATTTTTTAATTTTTTTGACACCAAAGAACTTCATGCTATTTGAAGAATGATATTTTAAGTACTTCAAAAGAAAAAGTATATATTTTACCAGCAGTAAAAGTCTTTAAGGACAAACTGTGTGAAAAAACATCTGGCTTTCCCCTTTACTTTATTATCCATAAGACCAAAAGTGAAAGTTAACAAGTAAAGCAACTAATACTGTTAACCAAGTGAACCTTGTTGTCAAAAGAAAGATGCACATAGCATGACATAATGGGAATACCATAGTTTTTTAGAGTTCACAGACCTGAATTTGAATTAGTTTGGACCACTTACCTTCTGTATAGCCTTGGGGCAAGTTTCTTTAGTTCTCTAAGCCTTTTTATTATCTTGAAAGAGTACTAAGAAAGTAACAGTGATTCTCAGATTCTTTGGTCTCAATACCACTTTCTACTAGCAAAATTAATAAGAACCCCAGAGACCTTTTTTAAAAAGAGACTTAAAAAAATATATATGAGTTATACCTGTCCATATTTACCTAGAGATTAAAATTGTAAAAAAAAATTTTAATGTTTGTTAGTTATTTTTAAATAATTTAGTAAGGAGAGTGGTAGATTGCTTTGTATTTTCTCTGATCTCTAATGCCTGGCTTAATAAAATGGAGCTGGAGTTTCATTCTGCTTCTGTATTCAAACTGTTAAAATATATTGGCGATTTTGGGTTTTTTTAAATTTATTTATTAATTTATTTTTGGCTGCATTGGGTCTTCTTTGCTGCGCACAGGCTTTCTCTAGTTGCGGTGAGCGGGAGCTACTCTTCATTACAGTGCACAGGCTTCTCATTGCGGTGGCTTCTCTTTGTTGCAGAGAATGGGCTCTGGGTGCACAGGCTTCAGTAGTTGTGGCTCACGGGCTGTAGAGCGCAGGCTCAGTAGTTGTGGCGCACGGGCTTAGTTGCTCCGTGGCGTGTGGGATCTTCCCAGACCAGGAATTGAACCCGCGTCCCCTGCATTGGCAGGCGGATTCTTAACCGCTGAGCCACCAGGGAAGTCCCAGTCAGTTGTTTTCTTGAAAACAACAGGCTCACATTGTTTGTTTTCCAGAAAAAGTGTCCCAAATATGAAAGTCTGACTAACCAGTTTGTCACTTGTCTTTTCAAGTAAAAATTCTATGAAAAAAGCACTATTTCAGCTCACAACTCAGTTGCACAAAGTTCTTTTCTTTGAGACAGCCATATACTGTTCTATGTAGCAGAAGTGCTTTGTATATATGTCCCATTTCTTCACATAGAATGTTAAGATTTCTACTCAAGGTTGAGTTCTAATAAGATAAATTCTTTTAAATGCTTCATGAAGGATGTCCTTAAGTGAAACTGATAACCTGGAATACATGGCCATGAAGAATACAAAGACAGTCCTAGTTTGGTGCTACTGCCCTGTGATTCATCTAAAGCATCAGTTATTTTTCCTACCATGGCTTTTTACACCATCAGTGCAGATGTCAATATGGTGGAAAAAGGCAAATAAGATCTTAGTGTCGGGAGAATAGTTTTAACCTCAAGGACCCCCTTGAAGAGATCTTGAGATACCCCACCAGTCACACTTTGAGAACTGTTGCTCTAGAGTGTCCATGGTACAATTATTAGTCTAAAGCAGTCAATAAATAGGAAGTGTAAAAATACTGTTGCTGTCATATTAAATTATTAAATGATGTGGTATATGAGAAAGTGCTTAAACTGAAAAGCGCTAGGTAAATGTAAATTCATATCATCATTGCCAGTAATAATTAGGAATGAATTGCAAACTAAGTTTTACCAGTGTTAACTTGCATACAGCAAAAGATAGGCATCAGTGCAATTAAAGGGACAGCTAGCTATTATATGGAAGATTTCACTTATAATGCATCCTTTTCTTTATTCCTTTAGATACATAAACATTCCACCTTGGATAATAATCCATGTTAGTTTCTAAATTTAAAACTATTTTGTAAAGTGTCTTTTAATATTGTTTACCTCCCAAATATTAGCAGTAGTAATAATAGTTTTGCTTTATAAATTGTGTTCTTTCTGACTTGCACATGCCATTACATATACTTAAATTCTACTTTTTCCTCTAAGTCTCTTTATCATTTTGACATTGAAGAGACATGTGCATACTCATACAAGTAACTTAAAACACATGTGCTAAATTATTTCTTTAAGAAAGTAAATTATCAGCTCCCTTCTTTAAATTCCTTCCTCTCTTATCTAATGTTTATAAAGATTAATATTGGCTTTAAAAGTCACTTGCTCTTGAATCTAAGAAAATAATATTTGTGTCTATCATTTCTTTTTTTCCTGAGCAGAAGTGACTGGACAACCCCAAAGTGCATCTTTTGTCAAGGTGAAGTGGTGGTGGCCCCTTGTTCTGATAGCTGCTCTTCTCATTGGGTGTTTTTTGTACACTTGTACTCCTGAAGCAGAAACCACTGCTGTTCAAGAGTTCCAGAACCAGATGAAACAACTTATGAATAAGTACCAAGGTCAAGATGAGAAGCTGTGGAAAAGGAGCCTAACATTCCTGGAAAAACATCTTAATAGCTCCCACCCTCGGCCTCAGCCTGCTATCTTGCTGCTCACTGCTGCCCGAGATGCTGAAGAAGCACTCAAGTGTCTGAGTGAAAAAATTGCCGATGCCTATTCTTCCTTCCAAAGTGTTCCTGCAATCCGGATTGATGGGACGGGCAAAGCAACTCAAGACAGTGATCTTGTCAAACGAGAGGTAGATGAGGAACTGAGCAACGGATTCCGAAATGGCCAGAATGCAGCTGTGGTCCACCGCTTTGAGTCACTGCCTGCAGGCTCTACTTTGATCTTCTATAAGTATTGTGATCATGAAAATGCAGCCTTCAAAGATGTAGCCTTAGTCCTAACTGTCTTGTTAGAGGAGGAGACACTTGGAACCAGTCTAGGCCTAAAGGAAATTGAAGAAAAAGTGAGGGATTTCCTCAAACTCAAGTTCACCAACTCTGATACACCCAACTCCTACAAACATATGGACCCAGACAAACTGAGTGGGCTCTGGAGCCGTATTTCTCACTTAGTCCTGCCAGTACAACCTGAAAATGACCTGAAAAGGGGCATCTGCTTATAAGAGGAGACAGAAGAGAAAATCATGTCTCAAGTTCTGAGAATTTTTCAAACTTTCTAACCATAGACAGGATCCAGAGCTCTTTTTGAAAGAACTGGTTTCTTTTTAAAGGAGGTTAAGTTCTTAAGTAAACGTGGAATATCTAAATCGTTTATTCAACCTAATTATCTGTTTTTTGAGAGAATTGTTTCCTTGTTTCCATTGAGATCTGTGTTAATGATATCTGAGGACTGTAAATTATATGCAGTCCCATAGAGGATCTGCTTAGATTCTGGGTTGAATCATTATTGCTATGGTATGACCAGTGGGAGGGATTAGGCTCCTTCCTATGAATCCGCCCAATTTTTTAACTTAGATTTTTTTCACAGTTTGTCGAGTTATTAGTAAGACAGCTCCCTGAACATAACTGTGGGTTTTCCCTTTTGTCCTCTTCTACATCGTTTAGATGTGAATTCCGTAGTCAGCTTCTGCTTATAGGAACAAAAATAATGAAAGACCATCCGAGTGTGTGTTTGGGATTTTTGGTTTTTGGTTTTTTCCTTTGATTTTGGAGGGCAAGGAGAAGGAGACATGGGAAAAGTTATGGAATGGGGAGAGAAAGGGGGGAAAAAGTCTTCAAGGTGAAATGTTAAAATAAGCCACTGAGGGAATTCCCTGGCGGTCCAGTGGTTAGGACTCCACACTTTCAATGCCGAGGGCCCAGGTTTGATCCCTGGTCAGGGAACTAAGATCCTGCAAGCCGCCCCACGTGGCCAAAAAGAAAGCCACTGAGGCTTAGGGTTAGTCAAACATAGTTATATGAACTGCATTCTCAGTGAATTCTGTTGGGACTTGTTTCTCACATGTCCTTTTTTTTCGTTTAAGAAATTTTTATTCCTCCCAGAGATTTTGAAGCATGTATATGATGAGCTTTAGTATATTTGTTCACTTGGCTCTTAAGAATGGGTAAGTTCAGAGCCATTTATTTTGGTCATGTCCTGAAAGTTTTGTTAAGAAATACAATTTCAGGAATTGGTAAACCATTTGTTAACCAGCTCTCCTGGGCTGTTGAAGAAGGATTTGATTTTCTGCATGTCTACTTGTTGCATTCTGAGTCCTTTAATGACACTCTTGTAACAAGAATAAAGATTTACAATGCACGTGATAAATTCTACTAAGAGTGCCTCAAGCGAAAAAGAAAGTGAAGTTTACCATATATGAAGAATGTTAAAATGTACTACTGTACATTACTGTACTACTATAGAATTTCAGTTTTAACCTAGCATCACTAACAGCTTTCTCATCCGTCAACTGCTTTGGTTTTCTTAGAAGCTTAAAATTCTGGATCCACTTTATTTTTTTATTGTCTACAAACCTTTAAATGAAAATATTGTTTTTAGAATACTAGAGCCTGTCAGTGGCTTCATCATTTACCTTTTAAGGATCCCATGACTGGTGGTAGAGTACAGTCTCGTTTCTTCCCACTAGGACTACCAGTATTCATAAATTTATACCCCTTATTGTAATTTGTTCCTGACTGTCAGAAGTCAAATATTCTGATTTATAGAGGATTCTAAAACAAGAGTTTTTGAAAAGACTTATTTTATACCTATATATATTATATGGAGAAACATGTTTTTTTAAATGTTTCATTGACCAAAATAACTTTAAAGTAATTAATATTACTTATATCAAGAAAAATAATTGTAGCAGCTGATCTGTAAATGACTTTAAAAGCTATTTTAGTAATTTAAATAAATTTACTTTCTTGGTTTGTACTCTTGTGTGTCATAAACTTAATGATTCATATACCTTTAAAAGAAATTATTCCTAGAGTTTTCTTTACACTTGAACAATTTTAGCGACTCCTGCTAGGAGAAACAAAGGGCAAACAAAGAATTGCAGCCACTCACAAGTACACTGGTAGGAAATATAATCAGTGTGATTTTCTGTTTCATCCAGGGATTTTGAATTATCACTAAAATGGAATTAGTTTAGGTATTCCCCACTTGGCAAAAGAATCCACACCATGTTTCTCAAATTTTTCATTCTCACCTCTCTAAAGAACCTTTTTAGATTTTTGTTTTCTAATCATCTACTCCCATGAAATTTTAATACTGCATATATACTCTACATCTGTTTATGGACTGCATATTTTTATGCTTTATATACCTGAAGAATAAGAGTTTTTTGCCCCCATTGAAAGTGCATGCTCACGGACATCTGTATTTTATATCATTGATGCCTAAAACATTTTGTTTTGTTCATGTTACCATAATCCGTTTGGAGGGGAAAATTTAATAAATCATCGGCTTGAAAATAGGAACTTGGGCCTCTAGGAATTAGGCACATTGTGACTTTGGGTGACAACATTGGCCCAGGGAAAACCACAGTGCAAAACTGACCTTACAAATTTCTAAAAACTTAATCTGCTTCCCTTCTCTTAATGACTTACTTATATTACTCTTAAGGAGGTTTTCTAAACCTCCAGTCCTCCATGATAGGAAATAAACCTGATTTTCATTCTACGAAGAGAAGTGAAACTTAGAAAAGGTTTGCATAGTTAATACCTACACTAAAGATATAAAGCCCAATTTGCCTGTGACCTTAGGTCTTCTGAAAGTGGCCTTTGTGTTGTCAATATGAGGAAGCATTTCTCATCGATTGCAAAAAAAACAGTGGACTATTCTTCTACATTGTCCTTATCAAGGCCACAGAGTCAAATCTTATGGTATGAAGATTCTACTGGCATTAGCCACCTGGGATGAAGGTGTGAGTCCTGGGTCTGGGAAACCAAACTAAGTCTTCCATTGACGGCCATTGACTTGGAAAAAGAGGCAAGTCCTGCCTTAAACCTATCTTTGGCCTGGATTCAGAGAAGTCCTGGTGGGCTTGCAGGTTCTTCTGGATGGTAGGGGAAATATAGCCCATCACCTGAGTATGAACAGGGAGAAACCTCTTGCAATTTACAAATTAAAATATTGTCTTTTGCACACTCTTGGACTCCTCTGGAATATTTTTCATATCTTGCCTTCTCCCTTTTCCCAGCCTCACGCTCTGCTAATTTTTACTTGTTCTGAATGCTTTATTTTTTTTCAGACAGAACTTTACTGAACCTAACCTAATTCCCTACCCTGAAATACTGGTGCAGGTGCCTCTTCTTTACATGCTTGTTCATCCTGTATTCCTGTCACAGCACTTAGCACACTCCCACAACCATATGCCTCTTTTTTAAAAAAATTTTATTAGTATAGTTGATTTACAGTGTTGTGTTAATTTCTGCTGTACAGCAAAGTGATTCAGTTATACATATATATATTCTTTTTCATGTTTTTTCCATTTTGGTTTATTACAAGCTATTAAATATAGTTCCCTGTGCTGTACAGTAAGGCCTTGTTGTTTATCCATCCTACATAAAATAGTTTGCATCTGCTAATCCCAAACTCCCACTCCATCCCTCCCCTCCCCCCCCCACCTTGGCAACCACAAGTCTGTTCTCTTTGTATGTTTCTGTTTCATAGATAGGTTCATTTGTGTCACATTTTAGATTCCACATATAAGTGATATAATATGATATTTGTATTTCTGACTTACTTCACTTAGTATGATAATCCTAGGTCCATCCATGTTGCTACAAATGACATTATTTCATTCTTTTTTATGGCTGCGTAATATTCCACTGTAAATAGTGCTACTATGAACATAGGGGTGCATGTGTCTTTTCGAATTAGAGTTTTGTCTGAGTATATGCCCAGGAGTGGGATTGCTGGATCACCATATGCCTCTTGAGAGCAGGAGAGTGTGATCAATCTACGTACAGTGGTAATCACATAAAGTGCTCAAATATTTGTTAAATAAAAATTGCAAGCCCTGTGTGGTTAGCAAAAATAGGTAAGTCGCATCTTTCTCAGTGTTTTGCTTTTTTTCTATTACTGAGCCTTTTTTTTCTAAATCTTTTTTATATAAACTATTTCAACCTGGATTCAGTAGGGCTATGAATAATTTCAGGAAAGAGGAAGGGGACCAGTCTCAGAAGGGAAACCTGGCCCTTTTCTGATGGAAGCAAGGATCATTAGTGAGAGGTCCCCGAGGGGAAGGTGAATGTTAAGAAAGAAAACTGAGAGGCCTTAAGGTCTTTCCACAGTAAGATTAGGAATTTGAGTTTTCTTAAAAGAGCTAGGAAGTTTCCTTACATCTTTTCATGTTGCCTAAGAGGGTAATTATAGTCCAGATAAGAGATGGCTATGGATGTGGAGAGAAGATGGATAAGAAAAATATTCGAGACGTAGAAATGACAAGGTCTGGTAATCGAATGTAATGTTATAGAGAAAATACCTCATAGAGGACTCTTCAAAGCGCTGTACTACTAAAAATACCTCCTCAATCTATTTAGCTCATCTATCTTCTCTCCCCAAATACTAAGCACACAGTGGTAAACTAAATTCTTATCTCTGAATGTCTTTCTGTTGACTTTTAGCAGGTTGAAGTAGAGACTCACATATTTAGTCAGGAATTATTTGATTGTAAATAAAAACCCTGTCTAATCAGCAAAAGAGGAAAGGAAGGGTGAGGTGGGTATTGTAAGAATATACATCTGAGACTCCAAGACAGGAAAGTATGGGAACTGTGAGGACTGCTCTGGACGGAGATCTCACAGCCATTCCCTCTGCCTCTCTACTTCTGGCTTGCTATGCCTCAGCAACTTCCCCTTGTGTCTTTTTTTTTTTTTTTTTTTGGTTGCGTTGGGTTGGGTCTTCATTGCTGCGAGCAGGTTTTCTTTAGTCGCGGCGAGCGGGGGCTACTCTTTGTTGCGGTGCGTGGGCTTCTCATTGCTATGGCTTCTCTTGTTGCGGAGCACAGGCTCTAGGCGCGTGGGCTTCAGTAGTTGTGGCACGCGGGCTCTAGAGCGCAGGCTCAGTAGTTGTGGTGCACGGGCTTAGTTGCTCCGTGACACGTAGAATCTTCCCAGACGAGGGCTCAAACCCATGTCCCCTGCATTGGCAGGCAGATTCTTAACCACTGCATCACCAGGGAAGTCCCTTGCTTCTGTTTTATGTCCTGGTTTTTTGGCCACAAGGCATTGGGATCCTAGCTCCCCAGCCAGGGATCGGAACCGCACCTCCTGCTTTGGAAGGCGAAGTCCTAACCACTGGACCACCAGGGAAATCCCTTTCTTCCCACTTTTAGAGAGCACCATTCTTAGGCTAAACTCAAGAAGAGAAACTGCTCCGTTCTACATAGCCCATAAGAGAATATTTACTCATAGTAGTTATGTGCATTTTTTGATGAGCAGTTTTTTTAATCTACTCTCAATTTCGTAGTTTAAATGGACTTTCTCCTACTTTGTATACCATGAAGATGGAAAAGATCTATATCGAGACCTTTGAATATGTATTAAGTTGTCCCTCACCATTTTCTAGTTTTTGTTACTATTTATTGAGTGCTTATTAATGCCCCAAACACTGTTTCAACTTCTTTACATGTATTAACTGATTTAATTCTCACAATAATCCTGTGAGGTGGTAATATTATCCCAACATTATAGACAGGAAACTGAAGCACAGAAAGATAAAATGACACCCAAGAATACCCAAGTAAAAAGTGGTGAAGCAGAGATTTGAACCCAGGCTGTCTGTGTTTAAAACATCTATTCTTACCACTATGTAGAGAGTCTCTAGAACCCCATATATGATGTTTCTCCCCAATCTATTCAGGCTCTATACAGGTTGGAGTATTTTTCCAACATTGTAGAATTTTTTTTTCAATTGAACTATAGTTGATTTACAATATTGTGTTCATTTCAGGTGTACAGTGAAGTGATTCAGATATATATAGATGTATAGGTATATATATATTCTTTTTCAGATTCTCTTCCACTATAAGTTATTACAAGATATTGAATATAGTTCCCTGTGCTTTACAGTTTTTTGTTCCTTGTTTTTTGTCTCTTTCATATATAATGGTGTATATCCCATACTCCTAATTTATCCCTCCTCCCCTCCTTACCCCCTTGGTAACCCTAAGTTTGTTTTCTCTGTCTGTGAATCTGTTTCTGTTGTGTAAATAAGGTTTTAGATTATTTTTTAGATTCCACATATAAATGATATCACATGATATTTGTCTTTTTCTGTCTGACTTACTTCACTTAGTATGATAATCTCTAGGTCCATGCATGTTGCATGAAAGGATATTTCATACTTTTTTATGGCTAATCTCCTATTATTATATATGGGATATATATATACCTTATACTATATATATTATATATAGTATATTATATTACTATTATATATAGTATAGTATATATAATATTTACATTATATAAATATTATATATATATAGGATAGGATATATATCCTATATATAGGATATATATATAATTATATATAGGATATATATATATATATAGTACATGTGTATATATACCACATCTTTTTTATCCATTCATCTGCTGATGGACGTTTGGGTTGTTTCCATGTCTTAGCTATTGTAAATAGTGCTGCTATGAACATTGGGGTGTATGTATCTTTTCAGATTAGAGTTTTTGTCTTTTCCGGATATATGCCCAGGTGGGATTGCTGGATCATACTGTAGCTCTATTTTTAGTTTTTTAAGGAACCTCCATATTGTTCTTCATAGTGGCTGCACCAATTTACATTCCCACCAACAGTGTAGGAGGGTTCCCTTTTCTCCATACCCTCTCCAGCATTTATTATTTGTAGATTTTTGCTAATGCCCATCCTGACTGGTGTGAGGCGATACCTCATTGTAGTTTTGA